CGCCGGCAGCAGGTCACACAGCTGCCTGGACCCCGGGCTGAACAGCACTGCTGTGGCGAAGAGGCTTACGTCACCCGCCTGCTCCATGCATCTGATCTGGAGCACGAGCCCCAGCCTAGCACCTAACTTCTAGGCCTCAAGCATCGAGCTTTTCCTTACAACCTCAGCGGCTCAACTAAAAGGGTCTTTTTCCCGCTTTCCCATTCCGCAGGCATGCTTGTACCTGCCTTTCCTCGGATCCCTGTCTCGCTCTTATGCGCTCTCCTGGCTGTTACAAAGCCCTACAGAAGCCCCGGACAGGAGTCGCTGCTTTAACGGCTTCAAGGACGACAGAGACCCAGTCTTGAGCACGGTCGTGTTGTGCTACATTGCACTGTCTTCTATGCGTGTTTGTGCAGTGGCTGTGGTGCTACTGAAGAGCCGTCACTGGCACCTACATGAACAGAGCCAGCTGCAGGTCACGAGCAAAAACACATGCAATGGGCAGCCTTTCACCTCCGCCCACTACTGCAGAAAACCCCAGGGCTGGCAGCTGTGAGCGGGGCGCCAACACCTCGTGTCGTCTTTAAAAGAGGATCAGGAAGGCAGAAACCTAAAGGGACAACTCCGACCTGAAACAGCTGATCCACAGGGAAACACGTGCATCCCAGAAGCCTTTCCTTTCCTTGCAGGTGCTTTGGGGTCTTTGCATTCTCCCTGCCATGAGCAGATCAACAGATTAATAATAATAAAGGTTAATGGCAGCTCACTGGAGCTCAGCAGTATAAGCCTGTCCAGGACCTGGATGGGAGACCTGGGAAAGCTAAGGCTGCTGCTGGAAGAGGTGTTAGTGGGGCCTGCAGGGGGAGCTCACCCTGCGGTCTGCGTGTGTCCTGTATGGGTCCTGATGCCCCAGTATAGTGACGGGAACACTATAATGAAAAAAGGCGCCATCCTTCGGACGAGAAGTAAAACCGAGGTCCTGACACTCTGTGGTCATTAAAATTCCCAGGCATTTCTCAAAAAGAGTAGGGGTGTTACCCCGGTGTTAAGGCCTAATTTCCCCCTGGCCTTTACAAGTTATTGCCTCCTAATAACCCCCCCTCTCTGAACTGGCTTCATCACTCTGCTCTCCTCCCACTGAGAGCTGGTGTGTGGGGAGAGGACTGGCGCACTACAGCTGCTGTCACGTCATCCAGGTGGGGCTCCACACTGGTGGAGGAGTGGAGTCCCCATCACCTATAAAGACCTATGACCGGAGTGTCCAGAAAAAGCGTTAGAAGAGTGTAAAGCCATTATTAATTATTTTCTAAACTGCTGCCTTTGATCACAGACCCTCGACGGAAGTGCGGGAGATATTGTGAGCAAAATGAATTCCTATTATTACTACTACCCGGCAGAGGTCTACCCTCCCCCTCCCCTCTCCTTGCAGGAGGCGGCCTCATGAAAGAGAACTGTTTCACGCACCTCCAGACACTTCGACGCGCTGAGCAACCGTCACCGAAAGCCTCAAGCCCACGGAGGGCAGAGCCAGAGACGGAGTGGGGGAGCTCGGGTCCGAGCCGGCGGACAGCGGGACAAGAACCCGCCAGCCTCCGCATGCGCCCGCGGCCCGAGGCGGTGAAGCCGCGCCCCCGCCACAGAACAGAGAGGGGGGGGGGAAACAAAACGGGACCCTCGGAGCCGAAGCCTTTCAGGCCTCCCTTAGAATCCCGATTAGAGCCTCTCTGAGCCCCGCTCGTCTCTCTGGTGGTCTCTAAAGGTGGTCCTCGATTGCCAGGAACAATCAAGGCAAGGAGCTACTTGGCAGCTATTCAGCTGCATAGATTAGACAGGATGCATCATATCACACTGCTATGTACAGCCCAGCGCCTCTTAATCCATTTAAAGGCGCAGAGGATGACCCAACGGGGATCCTGTAAGCAAGTGTTAGTCTACCGCAGAGCAGACACTGGAACGGGTCAACTTCAGCCAGCGTGAAGCACACACCAAGATACAACAACTCGCAACGGAAAAGTCAGAGCGAGAGAGGTGAAGAAAACGCACTAAATCTACGGAAAAGCACAAACCGCAGCAAGTATACACTTGAAAGCGGGGAAGAGCTTGTTACTCTTTTTTTTTTCCAGTGGGGGGGGGCATCCAAATGAAACACTATATACTGTCCAATATACCTCTGCTGACCGATGCCTATACTTCAGAAATGCTGGGGTGGAAAAAGCGCTCCAGGTTTTCATCACATCCTAGCAGGGTGGCTGACACAAATGCCTGACCGCAGAAAATGGAGCAACTACCTAAAAACATGGAATACGGCAGCTTTCCTCAAGACAGAACAGGTCCATCCCTATTCTACTGCAACAGTAGAGCTACCGCACAGCAGTGTGATCTCGGAGAGGAGAAGGTAAGCACATCTGGGCCAGCTCAGCCCTCCCTGGAGGCTCTTAGTGGCACAGGTGGCCCAGTAGGCAGCACTTTTCCCTGTGGACCAGTATGGTGACTAGGGACGCTGTGCTGTAGGAGGTGGGGTCATAAGACCAGGGTGCTGACTACTTAGTAAAGAGTCCGTGATGCTGCTCGCAAGAGTAGAACAGGTCACTGCAGTGCCGTCTGCTGCTCTTACTTGTACAGTCGGGCCTCACCGAAGCTCCCTCTTAATTCAACAGGAAAAGCAGTTCCTCACCCCTCCACCTGATCTGTGGGGCGGTTGGGGTGGAACTGGTACGGAGGAGCAGACAGGAGCCTACAGGCATTCAGCAGGTCCGCTGCTTTCTGTAAAGCACTTTGGGATCCTCAGAGGACAGGAACACTATGCAGATGCACACAATTAAGCATTAACCGTATGTCCGAGACATCCAGAACAGCTACTGCCTCAATAGCTACAGGATAAGGTGTCTTTAAAATCAGTGGTGGATCTTTTGATGGTAAGAATAAAAAGAATCCCGGAATTAGTGGGGAAGACTTGTCCTAGGGTTCGTGCTTTCCAAAGGACAAGGCTCGGGCTGCCTCATTATCGCCACCCGCGGTGTTACAGCCCACAATTTTATTCTACCTTTGTGTGCACAGCTTAGGTGGTCTGGGTTTAAATTTAGTTCCTACTGAGCACTGCTCTTCCTTTCCCCTCATCAGCCAAGCTGAACAAACAAGTGCACACCGCAGCAGAGAAACAGCGAAGCACTCTTAGGAATGGCCAGGAGGAAGATCCCAGCATCCCCGCCACGCCCACGCCCCCGCCCACGCCCCCGCCCACGCCCCCGCCCACGCCAGGTCTGGCTGTCAGTCTGGCTTCAGTATGGGGACAACACACCATCAAGCAGTTGCCGAGAATAAATGGGGCCGTCTGCTCCACAAACTGGGAGTGGGTGCCGATTTCTGCGAGAGCGCTGGAGAGGTGCATAATTAGCCAGGAGGGCCCTTTGTTCCGGACGCTGCAGCACCCCAGCGAAACGGGCCGGGCGCCCTCATCTGCTTCCACTGCGGGCAGAGGGATTGACCAGAGCCGCCAGTAACATGGCCTCCGAACAATCCCCCTCTACACTGGCTTCAGCACTCTGCTCTCCTCCCCGCTGAGAGCTGGTGTGTGGGGAGTGTACTGGTGCATCATCCAGGTGGGGCTGCACACTGGGGGTGATGGAGGGGATCCCCATTACCTGTAGAGTGCTCTGAGTGGAGTGTCCAGAAAAGCGCTATAAAAGTGTGAGGAATTATTATTATTAACTCAGTGGGACAGTGGTATCAACTGCTTTCACCACCACCACCATTAGGAACAACGCTTTTCAATTTCACAGCTGTTAAAATTTAATGGAGGAACGTTCTTCCATTAAATCAGTGCCACATTTGGCGATCCTATATTTCTTCTTCAATGTTTTCGAACACTTTATCAGTGCCTATTCTACAGTTCCGCAGGATGTCAAATACCAATTA